CAACAACTCCTGGACCAACTACACCTAAACCAACAACTCCTGGACCATCCACAGCTAAACCAACAACTCCTGGACCAACTACACCTAAACCAACAACACCTCTACTAACCACACCTAAACCAACTACACCTAAACCAACAACTTTTAGGCCAACCACAACCACTACTTCAAGTATGATGTACTTTTTGCCACTTCCATTTGTTAATTTTTTTTTCTTGTATGTGGCAAACACTTTCCTGATTGTTTTACAAGGAATTTACTTTGTGTGCAGATCCTTGTCCGCCCAATGCAGAATATATAGATTGTGGTCCTGCTTGTATCCCCACATGTATGGAACCATCCACCAACTGTTCTGGTTCCTGTCTAAGTGGCTGCTTCTGTAAACCTGGATTTCTCTTCAAGGGACGACGGTGTGTGCCAGTGGATAAATGTGGATGTTTAGATGACGAAAATAACTACTATGAGGTCAGATGTCATATTTTATATTTTTATGAACAAAAAATACTACATGACGATTGGTACTAGTGTCATATGAGGCATGCCCTCAGTAGTCATCAATTTTATATTTTATTTTAGCCTGGTGAGATAGTATCTGGAGATGGCTGCACAAAACTGTGTCGCTGTATTGGAAACTACACTTTGGAGTGCTTTGATAACTTCTGTGATCCCACTGAAGAGTGCAGAGAAGTTAATGGTGTTTCCAGCTGTTATCCTAAAGGTAATAACACCTTCCTTAAAGCAACAATGTACAACAACTGCAAAATGGTGTAGTCAGTTTTGAAGTCATCTTTGAATATATGGTTATCAGTAGTGAGTACCCCAGGGAGCATGAATACAAGAACAGAAGTCCAGGCTAGGCAATGGGTAGCCAAACCAGGACATATTTTTTTGTTTTTTTGGATTACAGTTTAAACAATGTTTACATCATGCAAAGTTTTTTTTTGACAGTAGATAAAAGTTAGTTAGACAATTGTTAACATTTAGTTTCTTGTTTCATATGTTTTTAGGTACATCAACTTGCATCATATCTGGAGACCCTCACTACACAACCTTTGACAAGAGCAAATATGATTTTATGGGTAACTGCAGTTATCTAATGTCTGGGCGCTGCAACAACACAACTCTGCCATTCTTTGAGGTTCATACAGACAATGAAAATCGATATAACACGCCTAGCATCTCCTACGTCAAGGCTGTACATGTATATGTACACATGCTGCAGATCTCCATTCTTAAAGGTGGCACTGTGCAGGTAAGAAATGATAGCATGCATCCACACATAATAAAATCTAAAAGGAAAATTATACACCATGACCACAGGGAAAAAGGGTGGTCACTGACTCAGTGTTGCCATAGAAACATTTAAAGAAAACTTCAGAATAACACCAAATACTGTATTCCATAGTATATAATCTCTACTGTATTCTATAATCTATATTCACTGGATTATTGAGCATGCATCAGGACATGTATTCTATAAAGTTTTCATGTGATCAGAACTGTTAAAAAAAACTAAAAGGAGCAAAATACTTGACCACACCACTCCATACCATACCCTACCATAACACATGCCAGACCATAATATACCATCACATACAACACATCATACAATACCATATCATACCTTACCATACCAGTGTTTCCCCTACCAGGGCACACTGCCTAGTGAACCAGATAGCTCCCGGGCTACACCCTGGATGGGTCGAAAGTCCATCACAGGGCCACATAGAGACAAACGAGACAAACAACCATTCACTTTCTCATGCACACCTAGGGACAATTTAGAGTTACCAATCAGCCTAACATGCATGTTTTTGGTCTGTGGGAGGAAACCGGAGCACCCGGAGAAAACCCACGCATGCACGGAGAGAACATGCAAACTCCACCCAGAGAGGCCCCTGGACCGGGGTTTGAACCAGGGACCTGCTCACTGAGAGGCAGCAGCTCTACCAGTTGCGCCACCGTGCTGCCCATGCTAATAATCATTGTTTTTTTTTTTTTTTTACTTTTATTGCTGAACAAGAACAAAGCAAATCACACACAAACTGTTTAGTCTTGAGACTGGGCCATCTCTTCAACAGCAGAAACAAAAACACAATATACTGTACACTTGTCATTGTACAGGGTCAAATAAAAACAAAAATAAAAAACAACAAGAGAGCTTTATTTAAGAAAGTCCACAATAGGTCCCCACACCCTTTCAAATCTCTGAGTTTTAAGTTGAAGTTGAGCTGTTAATTGTTCCATCATGTAAACATTTCTTATTTTTGGAATTCACTGATCAATAGTTGGTGGGTCGGGTTTCATCCAATTGACCGTGATCATTTTTCTTGCCGTCATGAGGAGAATATGTATCAGAGATCTTTGGTCATTAGTGAGATAATCAGGGAACTCATCAAGTAAAAAGATGACAGGGTCAAAAGGGACTTGTATCTTCAACAACATTTCCAACACATCCCTGACACCTTTCCAAAAGTCCTATACCTGAGGGCAGTCCCAAAATATGTGAGTGTGGTCACCCACAAGACCACATTTTCTCCAACAGTCACCATTATTGTCATGCCCAGAGAGAGATAAGTCTTAAGTGGGGTTTGAAAAAAACTGATTTTGCATTTCCAATCAAAACAAATATTCTCCCAAGAATCATCATCCAAAATGACATTTAGTTCCATTTCCCATTGTTGTTTAATGTGTTGAGTGCTGTCTGATACATCCATCACCAGTTTTTTATACATCAAAGAGACCTATTTTTTCAATGTTCCAGAGTTTTCGATTAAACTAATTAAGTGTTTCTCTATATTCGTGGGTTTCCTTATAATACTTTCCCAGTCTGTATGTTGTGATAAATAGTGTCTAATCTGTAGAAATCTATACATATCTCCTGGAGGGAGATTAAATGTGTCTTTTAGTTTGGAAAAAGTCTTAAGTATATTGCCTTCAAATAACTGATTTACTGTAATCAGCCCACTTTCAGCCCATCTAATAAAGGCCCCATCTGATAAAGATGGTAAAAACTCGGGGTTTTTGTTAATGGGAATGGCCCTTGATAGAGCAATAGTTCCCTTCAATTGTTTCTGTGTATGGTTCCATACCTTGAGTGTGTGCCTGACCCAGATGTTAGTTATTTTAATTTTTTCCTGAGATTGCAAACTAAGAAAGGGAAGGGTTGATAGACTTACACCTGGTAGTGAGTATTCCTCGATGAAGACCCAATGAATTTCTGGATCTTTGATAATCCATGCCACTAGTGCTCTTATTTGAGCAGCCCAATAATAGAGTCTCAAATTAGGGGGTCCAAGTCCTCCCCTTTCTTTACCAGACATCATAATTTTAAGTCTCACTCTTGTTCGTTTGTTCTGCCAGATGAACTTTGATATAATTTTTTCTAAGGATTTAAATATATATTGCTGTAGATACACTGGTAGTGACTGAAAAAGAAACAACAATCTTGGTAAGATATTCATTCTCACACACTTGGTGCATCCCAGGAGTGAAAGAGGAAGCATATCCCATCTGTTTAGATCTTTTTTAATTTATTCTATTAATTTATTGTAATTAGAAGAGTGAAGCTGTGTTACAGTGGAGGCAAGGAACACTCCAAGATATCTAAATCCCTGTTCAGACTTTTTAAAGGAGACCAAATCTAACTGGGAGGGCCAACTGCATGTAACCATCATGGCCTCAGATTTATTTATATTAATTTTATATCCAGATACTATACTGTATTCTTTAAGATTATGAAGAAGAGTAGGAACACATGTGATGGGATTCTCTAAAAATATTAGTATATCATCAGCAAATTGTGATAATTTGTGTTGAACATTAGCTTCATCACGTATCCCTGAATATGAGGATTAGTCCTAATCAGTTCAGCCAGTGGCTCTATATTGAGTGCAAATAACGAGGGGGACAAAGCATCCCCCTGTCGTGTACCACGTCCCAATGAAAAAAACTCAGAGCAGTGGCCATTTACCCTAACTCTAGTTATAAACCCAGTTTGGTCTGATTTCACAAGTTTCCTTATATATAGTTGGATTCTGTTGGCAATGATGGAGGTGAGTATTTTTAGGTCAACACAGAAGGCTGATTGGACGATAAGAAGGGCAAAATGTTGGGTCTTTACCTTCCTTATGGATTGCACTAATAATGGCTTCAGACCATGACGTGGGGGGGGGGGGGGGTCTCCTTCTGCAATGATGCGCCAAATGTTCTCTATAGGTGAAAGATCTGGACTGCAGGCTAGCCATTTCAGTAGCCGGATCCTTCTCCTATGTAGCCATGATGTTGTGATTGCTGCAGAATGTGGTCTGGCATTATCGTGTTGAAAAATGCAGGGTCTTCCCTGAAAGAGATGACGTCTAGATGGGAGCATATGTTGTTCTAGAACCTGAACATAGTTCTCTTAATGGTACATTTCCAGACATGCAAGCTGCCCATGCCACAAGCGCTCATGCAACCCCATACCATCAGTGATGCAGGCTTCTGAACAGAGCGTTGATAACAACTTGGGCTATCCTTGTCCTCTCTGGTTCAGATGACATGGTGTCCCAGTGTTCCATAAAGAACTTCAAATCGTGACTCATCTGACCACAGAACAGTCTTCCATTTTGCCACAATCCATTTTAAATGACTCCTGGCCCAGTGCAAACGTCTGAGCTTGTGCAGCTTGCTTAGAAATGGCTTCCTCTTTGCACTGTAGAGTTTCAGATGGCAACGGCGAATGGCACGGTGGATTGTGTTCACTGACAATGCTTTCTGGAAGTATTCCTGAGCCCATTCTGTTATTTCCTTGACAGTGGCATTCCTGTTTGAGGTGCAGTGACGTTTAAGGGCCCGGAGATCACGAGCATCCAGTAGAGTTTTACGGCCTTGACGGTTGCACGGTTGATAATGATAACTTAAAAGTCTTTGCTATTTTACGCAGGGTAACATCATTCTGGTATTGCTGCATTATCTTTCTGCTCAACAATGGTGGAATTGGTGATCCTCTTACCATCTTGGCTTCTGAGAGACACTGACACTCTGAGAAGCTCTTTTTATACCCAATCATGTTGTCATTTGATCTAATTAGTGTTAATTGGTCTTCTAGCTGTTCGTTATATGCACAATTTCCTTTTTCCAGCCACTTATTGCTACTTGTCCCAACTTTTTTGGGATTTGTTGACACTGTAAATTTTGAATCAACATACAGGTCCTTCTCAAAAAATTAGCATATTGTGATAAAGGTCATTATTTTCCATAATGTAATGATAAAAATGAAACTTTCATATATTTCAGATTCATTGCACACCAACTGAAATATTTCAGGTCTTTAATTGTTTTATTACTGATGATTATGGCATACAGCTCATGAAAACCCAAAATGCCTGTCCCAAAAAATTAGCATATTTCATCCCACCAATGAAAGACAAGTGCTTTTAATACAAACAACGCCAACCTTCAAATAATCATGTTCAGTTATGCACTCAATACTTGGTCGGGAATCCTTTTGCATGAATGACTGCTTCAATGCGGCGTGGCATTGAGGCAATCAGCCTGTGGCACTGCTGAGGTGTTATGGAGGCCCAGGATGCTTCGATAGTGGCCTTAAGCTCATCCAGAGTGTTGGGTCTTGTGTCTCTCAACTTTCTCTTCACAATATCCCACAGGTTCACTATGGGGTTCAGATCAGGAGAGTTGGCAGGCCAATTGAGCACAGTAATACCATGGTCAGTAAACCATTTACCAGTGGTTTTGGCACTGTGAGCAGGTGCCAGGTCGTGCTGAAAAATTAAATCTTCATCTCCATAAAGCTTTTCAGCAGATGGAAGCATGAAGTGCTCCAAAATCTCCTGATAGCTAGCTGCATTGACCCTGCGCTTGATAAAACACAGTGGACCAACACTAGCAGATGACATGACACCCCAGTGACTGTGGAAACTTGACACTGGACCTCAAGCAATGTGAATTCTGTTTCTCCTCTCTTCCTCCAGACTCTGGGACCTTAATTTCCAAAGGACATGAAAAATTTACTGTAATCAGAGAACATAACTTTGGACCACTCAGCAGCAGTTGAAAGTGCAATTATATTGCCCCTCAGCACAGCTTTAGCTCCTCCCACAGGATAGAAGGTGTTACATCATCTTTGTCATTAAATGCAATGTTGGGTATTTTTTGTCTGACCTTTAAAGAAAATAATTTCATACATCACTGCGAGATGGGTTTTAGCGCTCAGATCCTTTGCAAAGGGAGAGTCACCATGTCAGAGTGAAC